CAGTCGGCGCAAGTAGGATCGCATAGGAGGTTCGCTCCTGGGCTTGTGCTGCTCCCAAAGGTATTTTCGGTGGCACGTCCCAAACTCTTTAGATTTTTGATCCCTAAGAGCAGTGATGGTGGTTTGGAACATGAGTTATGTCCCACTCCTGCAGCAGGTAGTGGCGTGCTGTCCTTGAATCTTTCCAGCCAGCTCCCCTCACAATACCTCCTAAAGTGGAGGTGCTTCTTGCTTAGCTTCTCGTGCCTTCGCTGACATATAGCCAAATACACAAGTCTGCTCTAGGTGTCCTTGTAGATCACTGTGATATAATAGACTGCTTTATGCTGTTTGCGGGATGTGTTGTCTTTTCATGTTTTTTAATGCAGTCTTATCTGGGACTTAGGTGTCCTGTAACACCTAGGCAGGTGTTGCTGTCATTTAACACACAATGTGTTCATCTTTGTGATGCAAAAGTCTGTTAATGAAACTGGCTGGACTGAAGATCAGAGGAATCAACAATACAGAAGGGTCAGACTATTGTAAAGAAGAGAGAGCAGGGGTTGAAATAACAAGTGCATGCTATGAACGAATAGTAAATGCATGCTGGGAACATAGTTCTTGAAAACAATAGTTTAACCTGTAATACTTTGAAGTGTGGCCTCAGGCTTTCCCTTGGACGTTTACTTTAGCGGACCCAGCAGATCTGTTTAACAGACATTACTGACACATGTTGAACTGGCTGTAGGAATTTTTCATATACTATGGCCTAATGCTGCTTTGGGTTCAGTGCTTGAAGTTGTGGGAGCAGAGCATGGTTATGGGAGATGAATGTCTCTGAAGTAACTATTGCTAGGGAGCACCAGGAGAGAGAATGAGTGGCTCATTGACTTGGCTAGTGCTGAGTATGTTAACAAATTTTACCCTTATTCAGCAGGGTGGTAAAGAAGCTAGTAGTTTATTTGAAGTGTGTTTCAGAACTTACAGTCAACTAGCACTGCCAAGGTTGTAGTAGCATCATTTCCTCTGCTTTAACTGGAAGTGGCAAATAGCATGCCATATTGTATTACTGGAAGTAGCACATGACACTGAGTATTGTTATATACTAAGATCAACCTTAGGACGAGAGAATAATTCTCTCAGACCTTGGTACTTCTGTAATTTTTGCACAGTGAGTGACAAAGCATCCAAAGACATTTGGGAAATTTCTGGATAAGCAGCTCTTCAACATACGTTGCCAAACTGCCTGCTGAATGCTGCATGCAAACCTGGAGGTTGTTATCATGCTGTAGCATAGTGACTTGCTGGGCAGATTCAGCGTCTCTGAAGTACTTGAAAACAGTGCTTTGATGAGTAACGCTGTCCCAGAAACCTACATGAGTTGCAATTCAGAGATAACTGTGCTGCTGTGTTTTATAGCCAGTGTTGGCTTTATATTCTGTCCTATTTGGACCATGTGGTTTTCTAATGGGAGAAGTGCTGCTGCTTGTTGTTGGAAGAAATACTAAACCAGCTGTACCTACTGTATGTCCTGATAAGGCTGCTGTGGGAAAAGTGAAGGCCATCCAAATTGTGACTTGACTCTTGAGCTTTAACTGAGCTCTGCATGGAGCGTAAAATGTGTTTCTCTGCGGAAGTTCAAAACATGGATTATCAGGCCTCCATGGTAAAATGTCAAGCTCTAGAGAAAGGCCTCTTGTAATTCTGTCAGCTCTGGGGAAATCTGATGTAAGAAATCAGTATCTCAGAATATAGTATCACAGTTGTATTAAAAAGGTAGGGGGGGGAGAAAAGGTGAAGGAACTTCAGTGTTCAAATAGAACTTTTCATGTAATTCAGTACATCTGACTGCATTTCCTTTTGCCATCTCTGCCTCTTCAGGAGAGACCAAGTTTCTGTGGAAGTTTTCCCTTACGTAATTTCACACATTCTAGTAACCTGTCCTCAGTAAAAAGTAAAGAAGGAAGATTTTTTTTTTTCTTTTCTTGTCATTTCTGTGGAGCCATTAGAATAATTAGCACCTACCTGTTTGCACGCTGGGAATAGGAGATGGAACATTTTGTCTGTTGGCTTTATGGATCAAATTATAGTCATTTGGTAAAGAACAAAGTTTTAGAAGCCTCCACAAAAAGCGTGTGCTACTTGCTTGCTGCTCAGGCTTCTTAATCTTCTCCCTGAATAACACAATGCAAGTGGAAAATGCTTCTTGTACAGGTTCACCAATCTTTAACCTGTTTTACGCCAAAACTGTTTGACTACTTTGTTTGCCTGGGTCTACATAAAGCTGGTGTGAGCCTGTGTCGAAACTGCTCAGTCCAGTCAGTTGTTAGGTTCTTGTTGGTTTTGATGCTGGATATTCCATTCCCAGCATAGGGAAAATTGATGAATGCTTTTGATAATTTAGTACGAATGATCTTTTTGTTATTTATGTGAACAGTTAGTTCTAGTTGTGAATTTTCACAAAGAAAACCTTTGGGCTGCATTGGATTTGAAGAATTAATCCTAGTTGGGTATTCGTGAGTTTCTTGAACTACTTAGCTTGTAAGAGATGAGGGACATCATGAGATCCAGTTTTACTGGTGATTTCTGGAAAGTGTCCTAGTGTTTTATACCCAGAGCCTGAAGTTTGTAGGTAGTTGGTGCATTGTCACGTTTAATTTGGAACTGCTATGTGGACAGTATTGCTGAGAGTGCTGTGAAGAAGAATTCAGTACTATCGTCCATCCTGAGACTAGCAAGGCTGTCAAAGCTAGTTTGACTGAGGCAGCTGCGTGTTTTTGGAAATATGCAAGCTGTTGCATGCAGAGGTGTCCAGCTGTTGAAATAGTAAACTCAGTGCTTTTGATATTTTTTTGGGTTAGTTGTTTTTGTTGGTTTTGTTTTGGGGTTTTTTTTTGTGTTTTTGTTTTGTTTTTGTTTTTTGGTTTTTGGTTTTTTTTTAAAGTAGGGTGGAAGGAAAAGGAAAGGAATCCCTGTTCCTGTCTCAATAAACAACAAATAACTTGTAGTTGACATTTTCCTTTCTTACAATAGTTAATGTTAGAGAATCGGTGGCTTTATTTTTCTTCAGTATTGTATTTCTCAACTTTATGTGAGTGAGAATCCTGTCCAGATATCAGTGCATTTACCCCTTAGTGCTACCTTGGGGGTGGGGGGAATAACTTCGTGAGAGTTTTCAATTTGCCCTCATCCTTCCTAGCATACAGTGGAGAGGGCCTTGACTTAAAGGTGGTGACTTGACGCTTAAGTTGCTCTACCTTTTTGAGGCACTAATTTTTTCAATTATTTGGTTTTGTATTTGACTGTTTCTCTTAGGAGAACATTTTGTTTCCTGCTCAGTTTGTAACTGGCTAGAATGTTCCAAAGTCAGCAGTCTAGAGCCCTGGGTGAGGAGTTTGGGTCGTGCTTTAAGTCACTACCACTGCTCTTAGGGACAAAAAACCTTTAGAACTTGGAGTCCTGCCTGTCCCATGCTGGAGAGCACAAGAACCTTGATGAGAATCCTACCAGAATGCAATTCTGCTTCTTGGAAATTAAGGTAAGTATGTCCCTCCTCTGTCCACTGTCACTTGGTTGTTTTGTTTTTTTTGGTTTTGTTTGGTTTTTTCCCCCCTCTCTAATAGTTTGCACTTCAGTCCTGTCAACTTTGTTTACGAAAAAAATTCCACCTTATTTCATAACGTTTATGTACATGAGAAGGTAACATTTATCTTAATCTTTTCCTGTGCTACAGATGCAATGGATCAACTCGAGCAGAGGGTAAATGAATTTTTTATGAACGCAAAGAAAAACAAACCTGAATGGCGAGAAGAACAAATGACATCAATCAAAAAAGTAAGGATATCACAGGAGTGGGTCACATATTTCTTTTGCAGACTAAGATAACCTTAGGAAACATAGCTTATTATTGGTGGACACTTAATCATTCAAAACTGTGACTTCCCTTGGGCTTTCACAGAGATGGATAGAACTACCTAGGAGGAGAAAAATGACTGAAAGGTTTCTTTCGTCAAGCATTTTATTTAAGTTCTACCCAGTATTTGCTAGCATTTTAAAAATTCTGATAGTGAAATTATGAGGAAACCAGGTACAAAATGTTCAGCTCAGGCTTTTTGTTTCTGCTTGCATGACATGAATTTACGTAAGTTAATTGGCTTTCTTTTAAATGATGTTTTTCAAGCTTAGCTTCAGCGTTACCTGTGATTCAGCCTGTGTACTTGTATGTGTTATACATACACTATATGTAGCTTAAGGGGGGGTGGAATAAGAAGATGGATGTGTTCTGTTTTATCCTTCAACACTCGAGCATTGGAGGTGGTATTGTTAGTCTTGTCAGGAGAAAATCCTTTGTGGTCTCTTACACTTGCTACTTTAGCCCCTTATTTGGCCAAGGGGTATTTTTTCCTTAATTAATACAAATACATTTCTATATTAAAGAAGAAAAAGACAAGGCTCTTAACTTCCATAGAGTAAATTATTAATTTGTTTATAATTATATTTGAACCAAAATTTGAAGTAGTTTTTGTTTAAGCAAAATCCTCCTCAGTGGAAATTGAGAATAAAAAGGTACTTAAACCTGTTTAAATCTGGAGTAAAATAGTGTAAACATACCTAAAGAGTTTTGTCTGTGGATTTTCATTAGTTTGAGCAGACTTTAAAATTGGATCGTTTTAGTCAAATTATTTTGTAATATGCTTATGAGTTACGTAAATGTGTTTAAAAATACTTCAAACTATGTATACATCATTATCTCTATTTAACTACAGTGCTGGAAAGGTCTTCCCTACCGGTACTGTTCAGCATCATTCTGAAGGGCAGTAGTATCTACAGTGATCCCTGCAAAGTGAAAGACATCATGTCATGTTGAGTCTGTAACCTTGTGCTATGTAATATAAAACAAATCTGAGACTGTTTCTTTTCTTGTAGCATTTCTTACAGGAATGTAAATGTCACTCTGGGAGGAAGTGTCCACATCTTGTAGTTTGGTGTTTCCTTAATGCTCAAACAATACATTGATATGTATTATATCTCTCACATTGATCTGTATTATATCTCTCATCTAAAACTTAGCTGATGATTGTTTACAGAAGAGTTTCACAGTCTTTCTGAAAACTGATGTGAATTTCTCCTTTTAATTTACATTTTGTGCTGGATAACAGTACCTAAAAATGACTGAAATTAATTCAGCTATGTTTGTAATTTAAAAACACCCTCTCTTTATAACAGGATTATTATAAGGCTTTGGAAGATGCAGATGAAAAAGTGCAACTGGCTAATCAAATATATGATTTGGTAAGTGGACAGAAGTGGTGAATTGTCTGCTTGTCCCCAAGGAGTTCTAAACATTTTGATAAGCATTACAACTCTGCTACCTGTATTGTTGTATCAGCTACAGTCAGATTTTTTTGCTGGTGAAAGAAACCTTAAATATTTATTGACTTTTAAGAATTTTATTGCTTTGGGTAGTAAATGTCAATTAAATATAAAACATACAGAAGTTATTTTAGAAATTATGTTGATTTTGTTTTGTTTGGTTTATCTCTTTCCTGAAAAGAGGCCACAAGCAAGTTACTCTTCCTTATAGCATGTGGATTTTGAATTTTAAGTAAATTTATTTTACATTTTCTCAGAGAAAAACCTGCAAATCAGACCACGCTAAAACATAGTAGACATGAAACAAATATTTCTTATCTGCTTTAGTTTCACTTCAGTTAACCAAAAGTTCATTCCAAAAGTTGGAACTTAGTCCCTGTCTTTTGGTTAGCTGTTAACTTCAAAACCTGCTCAATTTTTAATAGCTTAGAGACAGATATGACTACAGATGAAGGAAGCATTTGGAACACAAGTGTTTCTTTCCGTGATACTAAGTTCAGATTTTTTTTTTGTTTGTTAATTTTCAGTGCCCAAGAGCATGTCATAGTTTACTCACACGCACAGGTGTCTTTACACTTTTAGTTTAGAAACCCTTTTACTCAGTACTTAGTTTACTTATGTGCATTTTTGTCAGTGCTTAGTGCTTCATGGCAGTGAAATATTTAGCAAATCTGAGATTAAGGATGTAGATACTCACATTTCAGAACTGAATGCTATTTACTGTTGCTTTGTCTCAAAAATAGGTAGACCGTCATTTGAGAAAATTGGACCAGGAGCTCGCTAAATTTAAAATGGAGCTTGAGGCAGATAATGCTGGAATTACAGAAATATTAGAGAGACGTAAGTATGCATGATTTTATTTAGAAACTTGACAGATCTTCCATCAGTTTGCAGAATTAAAAAACCAAACACTTGTTAGTGGCTGGAAGTATTTCCACTTATTTCACTATCTGTTTAACTCACCTACTTTTTACCAGTCAGTGATTCTCAAATCTTGGTTTCAACCTCAATTTTTACCAATGAAGTCAAAATACACCTGAGTAATTAGAGTAAATTTTTCACACAACTGTTGTGCTTGTGAGTTACTACAGTAGGGTGCAGAATTCTTTAAACCTGTTTTTAATGACTAGGTATTCAGACAAGTGTTTCAGCCTAAGCTTGCCGCCTACCTAGTTGCAAGTGTACTATTTCTTAATTGAATTTACTACCACCAAATTGAGGAGCGTCGTTATTTTAGTTATGTGTGTGGAACATAAAGTTAGGTACTTAGTGGTTTTCTTTTTCTTTAAAGGGGAGAGAGTGGGTTGTTTTGTAATAGGGTAGCAAGGGAAAAGCAGTTTTGGTAAGAAACACACATGTTTAACAAATAGAGCAATGCTGGTATTCAGAGTGTGAACAAAAATGTAATGCCAGCTTTTTGGCCAAGTTGGTGTATCACTGAATCATCAGTGTTGGAAAGGACCTTTGGAGATCATCCAATCCAACCCCCCTGCCAAGGCAGGGCCGCCTACAGCAGGTTACACATGAACATGCCAAGGTGAGTTTTGAATATCTCCAGAGAGAGAGAGAGAGACTCCACAACCTCCCTGGGCAGCCTGTTCAGTGCTCTACCCGCATAAAGAAGTTTTTCCTCATGTGGAGGTGAAAGTTCTTGTGTTTTAATTTCTAGCCATTGCTTCTTGTCCTGTTCCTGGGCACCACTGAAAAGAGTCTGGCACCATCCTCCTGGCACCTACCTTTGAGATATTTATCTTCATTAATGAGGTCCCCTCTCAGTCTTCTCCTCTCTAGACTAAACAGACCCAGCTCCCACAATCTCTCATCTTAAGAGAGATGCTCCAGACCCCTGATCATCCTTGTGGAACTCCACTGGACCCTTTCCAGTAGCTCCTTATCTTTCTTGTACTGAGGAGCCCAGAACTGGGCACAGTACTCCTGTGGCCTCACCAGGGCTGAGTAGAACGGGAGGATTATCTCCCTTGACGTGCTGGCCACACTCCTGATGCACCCCAGATTACTGCTGGCCCTCCTGGCCACAATGGAGCACTGCCGGCTCATGGTCAACTTATCTATCAATTCTCTCGGGTCCTTCTCAACGGAACTGATCTCTATTAGGTCAGCCTCCAGCCTGTACTGCTACGGGGGCAGTACCCTACACTTGCCCATGTTGAATCCCTTTAGGTTTCTCTCTGCCCAATTCTCCAGCCTATCAGGGTCCTGCTGATCAGGTGTCACAGCCACTCCCCCCAGCTTCATATCATCAGCAGACTTGCTGAGTCCAGGTCATTGATAAACAAGTTGAGTAAGGATGGACCCAGTATTGATCCCTGGGGAACACCACTGACTACGGCCTCAAACTGGATTCTACTCTGCTGATCACAACCCTCTGAACTCTGCCATTCAGCCAGTTCTCAATCCACCTCACTGTCCATTCATCTAACTGCACTTCCTAAGCTTACATACGAGGATGTTATGGGAGACAGTGTCAAAAGCCTTGCTGAAGTCAAGGTAGATAACATCCACTGCTCTTCTGTTATTGATCCATCTTGCCATGTCATCCTAAAAGGCTATTTAGATTGGCCAAGCAAGATTTAGCCTTGCTGAATCCATGCTGACTACTACTGATGACCTTCTTTTCTACATGCTTGGTGATGACATGGGTGACTTGAGTGTAGAAGAAACTGTCCTTTCTGTACACATCAGCATTTTGACAGGAATTTCAAACGTGATCACGATAAATTTCAGAGTTGATTTAAATACTGTGATTATGGAGCTGAGAAGCAGTGACTGTTCTCATATCCAAGGACACTGAAAAGTAACCTAAATCACTTGTGGAGATTAGGAATAATTATTTGATTTTTGTGTGGCTTTGTCATAAAAGCTGGGAATTTTTGTATATTTTATTTGTAATTCCTACTACAAATAACAGCCACAAAAATAAAACTGGGAAGTAGGTGCTTTTAATGAGCTGGTAAGTACAGAAAGGACTAGTTTATTTTAGTTGGAATTGCAGCTGAGGCTTTAAGATGTGATACTACCTTCAGTTTAGCTATGTGTTTGATGACTAGGTAGGTAGAGTTCAAGAACTGAAAATAGAAATGTACCAGACTTTCATCTTTAAGGTAGTTTGTTGGGGTTTTTTAATAAAGGGAAAAGTAGAAGCATTTTTAGCTTTCAGAGTAAATACATATTATTGAGGTTCCGCCAGAAGGCGGCCTTTGGACTGGCTCATAACATGATTGAGGTTAGCTCAGTCAAAATAGCTTCTCGTGCTTTGAACCTCTGTGACAATAATTTTATTTAAACTTTTGTAATACAATCATGTGCTTTTTGAAATCACTGAAAGAGGTTAAGAAATGCTGAAGCTACAGATTTTGAAAAATGAACGTGAATTTCTTGAATTTACTTCCATATAAATGTACATTGGCAGGTATTGCAGCTATTCAAAATCGTTTTGCCAAAGATTCGTACACAAACTGTCGTATATTGTTCTAATATAAATTTATGGTCAAAGTCTCTTATATTACAAGAAAATTTATTTTTGGACATAGACTTGTATTTGTGCCCTCCTGCCTTTTTCTTTTTTTCCAACTTGGGATTGTTGCTCTGTGTATTTCTGAATGTTGAGGAAATTTGGATGATGATCTGAAGCCCTCCCCATTGAATGTTAGATGATCTTGACAGACACTGCTAGTGCTTGTGTGTTTTGGCTCAGTGGGACAAGGTGCCTCAGTTTACTTGTTATAGTCGTCTTCTCAATTCATATTAGTGTAGATTGTCAGTACTATTGGTTTTGCATTTTCCAACTGTCACTGCCTTGTGTGCAACTTGTGAATAAATGGCATGCTGAGGGCAGTGGTGGTGTTTGTTCTGTTTGTGTCAATAGTCGGACAGCAGCATGCACCAATTTTTGTTTTACAACTGTTCATCTCACTGGCTCCTGGTTGTACTTACAGGAAGGGTTTCAACTAGCAAAGCTCCTTCTGATTAAAATAAATACAACTTCATAGTGATTTGGTTAATACTTTACAGATTCATTTAGTATCTAAAAGTCAAAACTGTGCCAACGATGACTGAAATCTTCCTGTCCTTTTTACCTCCCTCTTAGGGTCTTTGGAGCTGGATACACCATCACAACCTGTGAATAACCATCATGCCCATTCTCACACTCCAGTAGAGAGTAAGTTTTTTGAGATTTAAAACATGTAATTACAGTTTGACTTTTAAGCTGAAAAGGTTAACATTTAAGTTCTCTTCATTTGCTTCATTTAGAAAGGAAACACAATCCCTCTTCTCACCATAGTACAACAGATCATGTTCCTGAAAAGAAGTTCAAATCTGAAGCTCTTCTATCTACCCTGACTTCAGATGCTTCTAAAGAAAATACACCAGGTAATCTCCATTATCTTGCATTTTATTGCTTTTTAATCAGAACAAGAGAAACCCAGTTGTATTTTTGAGTTATTGTCTTTTGAAATCAGAGGCTCATACCCTTTCCTCTGGGATTTTCAGTCATTTATAACATGAGAAAATGCAGCCATTGTTGCCCATCTGTATTGTCCATGAAGCACATCAGCTTTGTTGTCATTTAACAGCTGCATGTTGATTGTTTCTTTTTATTTACACTGCTTGGAAGGAGATACAGTTTCATTTAGCCAGTGGTAGAAATACAAGATTGATGCATTATTATTTTGGGAGAAAAACTTATGGAACAATTTCCAAAGTAGGGCATTCACACTTTTTCTAAGGGTTGGTCTGATACAGTGTTGGCTACAATAAAATAATTTCGTGTGTTGTCTGTTTCAGAGGCGATGAGAAGTCTTTTTGAGTAGTGAATAAAAAAAACCCAAACCAAACCACAATTTTCTGCCCATTTTCAAAATTAGGGTGGTTCATAGTTTCTTTTCTGAAAACAAAAGATTCTGAAAGGTTATAGTAAGTAAATTACCTTTTGTTTTGGAGTTTAGTGCTGTTCATCAGTTTCAGGTAGTCTCCCTCACACCCATTTCACTTTTATTTTGAAGGGACTTCATGTGAGGTAGCAAATAAAATGTAATTATGTTTGAGCAGCTCTCAGTCTGTAGATGGCCATGGAAATCTGTGTTGCATTAAAACTGCGATTTGTAGTTTTTAGAATTGAGATTGTTAAAAGTTTTACTTCAGAAACAGTATAGGGGTACCATCAAATTCTTACTCTATTACTGATGGTTACAGTAGTCAGCATTATTTCAGCGGAGATTGGGGTTATAGAAACACAGACATAGCACCTGTATCTGTTCTTTGACAGCTGAGTGTGATAGTGAGGACTGTCTTTCTAAAAGGACTCCTGGCACATGAGGATAGGTGGGGAACAAACTTCTTTTCTTAAGCCAATATGGGCTGTGTCAAATGGCTTCTTGAAACTTTTTTCCCAAATGATCAGACTGCTCTGGTGCATAAACGGAGTTCCTGCTCTTTCACTGGTTGTCATATATAACTCTTCTTAAAATGCAAAGGAATTTAGTTTCATTTTGAATTTCATAAATGTGTTCTGTTCATCAAGGGTGTCGAAACAGTAATTCATCATCTTCTTCAAACAATGCATACAATACAAACTCTTCTCAACCATTGGCATCATATAACCTGGGCTCATTATCTTCAGGATCCGGGGCCGGTGCAATTACCATGGCAGCAGCTCAAGCAGTGCAAGCCACGGCACAGGTAATGTTAAAACCTTATTGTCATTCTGCCATTTGCTACTGATTTAAGAAGAAAGACTAGTGTGTTTTGGGGTTTTTTTGTTTGGGTGTTTTGTTGTTGGGTTTTTTTAATCTGAATTCCCATGATCACTTCCAGCTGCTGTGATTCGATTCTCATATTACCATTTTCATTTATATGCTACAGCTTCATCCTGTAAAATTTGCATAATGGGAGAGCTTGTTTTCTAGCTTTTCCTGTGGGATATTCTTACGCTTTTTTACTACTTACTATACATCATTTTGTTAACAGGGTAACTAATGAACCTGTACAAATAATTAGCAGTTAGCAACCTGGTATGTCTTCTGTAAGAGCTCCACTGTGTAATCTGATACAGAATCAGTATTCCTTTTAGATGAAGGAAGGAAGACGAACATCCAGTCTAAAAGCCAGCTACGAAGCATTTAAGAACAATGATTTTCAGCTTGGAAGAGAATTTTCGCTATCCAGAGATTCATCTGGGTATTCATCATCAGCTCTGGCATCTACATTAACACAGACATTAAGTTCATCAACCACAGATTCACGAAGTGGCAGAAAAAGCAAGTAAGTTTTCGTAGTTTCTGACTGCAATTACAGCTTTTAAGTCAGCTAAAATGTCTTGTAAAGGTCATGGGCCACATTGGAAATACTTCATATTAAATATGGAGGGGGTGAAGGGAACCAGCAGAAGGTTGTTACTGTCTGCTGGCCTTTTTTTTGCTTAAGTCTTTCTTCTTCTGTCCTCTCACTTCCTTTTCTTTAGGCAAACTCACTCCACGGTTTTAAAGTAAATCAAGATATTTATTTTTCATCTGTGATATAGTCTAATATCTTCCATCATTTTTCTGTATACTGGAGAGATTTGACCTAATGGCAAATGTTGGGAATTGCCATGCAATGCCTTGTAGATGGTTTTGAAATAACCTGAAGGTCTGCTTTGTGTCACTTCACAAATATTTACACCACCTTCTGATGGCTGTCATCTATGACGGGAAAAATGATGTCTAAAACTGGTTTAAAACACCACAGTGTCACAGTACATTGTGAAAACAGTCACAAGTTGTACTTGACCTTGTACTTGGGTTGTACATCTGCCCATCCTTTGAAACTGACTAGGGTTTTTTTTTTTCTCTTCATACAGATTGGAGTGAGTTCACAGCTCAGTTAATAATTTGATCTTAGAAGCATTTTTCTCCTATGGATATCTTGGGTGTCAGATTTGACCTGTAAACAGAAGCATAGGATTTGTATTCTGGCACTGTTCCTATGAAGTGATTGGTGATGCTTGAGTGGAGGTTAACATAGAATTGGTCATCTTCAAAAAAGTTATCTGTTGTACATGACATATGACATTATTTATATGTAAATTTCTGTTTTATTGGTAATACAATTTTCATGGGGACTTAACACCAAGGCTGTTGATGGAAAATTTTGTGAAGAAAACCATTCATTAAAGCCATTTGACAGTTTAAAGCTGTTACGTTCCATTGATTAGAGCAGTGTGTCTTGCACTCATAAGCTGGGATGTCTTGTTTCCTTTTCCAAAGAGCACTCAGTGTGTCCATTTCAGTTCTTGCAGTTTTTGAATGAATTAAGTTAATGAGCGATGCTTTGGGATTGACATACTGCAGTATTTCAGAGTCAACAAAGTACTTGTTTAGTGATTCTTTCACTTGGCAGGAGATAAATTTAAATTATTTATACTATTTTTTTCCTCTTTCCCAGAAACAATAACAAATCTTCAAGTCAGCAGTCCTCATCATCTTCCTCTTCTTCCTCTCTATCATCATGTTCTTCTTCATCTGTACTGGCACAAGAACTGTCTCAGCAAACAGCAGTAATACCTGAGTCTGATTCTAATAGCCAAGTTGATTGGACCTATGATCCAAATGAGCCACGTTATTGCATTTGTAATCAGGTAAGGATGGCCCCCAGCCTGAAATATTCCACTATAGTTGAACTTTCATCTCTGATTGCTAATTTAAAACCATTCTATTTGCAGTCTTGAAATTCTGATCTGTTTTTATTTACTTATTGGTGATAGGAATAATGAACTCAACTGTTGAAGGTAAAGCCAAGCAAGTTCTACAGTGATGTGACATACCTGGAGAGTTTCGTATTTTCTAATGAAGACTTCAGAAATTGTCAAATTAAAAATTGAACAGATTTACAGTGAATTAAGTTAAGAATTCAAGTTAGTAAGGAATTTGCCTGGTCTCTCCTACTCTCCTTAAAAAATTAACAAACAAACCAACCTCACTAAAAACCCAGCCAGCTAGTTTTTATAAAAGCTATCCAGAAACTTGAGAGACAGAATGACAACATAAGAAACTTTTATTTGAAAATACTTGTTCTTATTTTAAACACTTTTAAGAGTGTTGGCTTTTCTTAGAGTTTATAGCATCCTGCAATTCACTCGAAAGTATTTGTTTGTTTCATAGAATCCTAGAATGGTTTGGGTTGGAGGAGATCTTAAAGATCATCTAGTTCCAACCTAGTTTCAAATAAAGTGCTTGAAATTGTCATGTATGCAAGGGAAATACCAGACATCAATATAATCTTGAAAACTGAGTTGATAATGTACTGAGCACTGTTGTTTAGGCCAAAATGTGCTGATCTTCTTTTATCCAACCTGAAATATGCATAAGTTGGGGGGGAGGGGTTGCATTAAAAAAATCTGAAAATGACTTTGCTGTGAACATGATGTTCTTTGAGTTCTGTAACAAGAGAAGAATCAGAATATTTTTGCTGCTGTTAATGGAAAAACTCTCAAAGGAAGAAATTTGAACTTTAGCCCTTTGAAAATATTGATTGCTTTTTATTAGTAATATAATTATTAATGATTATTTTTGTTCTTATTTACTAGGTGTCCTATGGTGAAATGGTAGGCTGTGATAACCAAGATGTAAGTAACAAAGCTCAGAAGGCTCATGAAAGGCTTGTGCATGTAACTATTGCTTGCAGGATTTACTTTTCTTTAGAGTCGGTTTTAAAGTACAGTTTTTCTAGAGTAACATGCATGTGAGTTCAGGAAACTTGTCATCTCACCACAGTTCAGTTTCTTTTAGAAGGGTTCACCCTTTGGTGGGAAGCTCTGACATCCTTAAAATGCCCATTATTTCTCGGAACTTTTAGCTGTGTCACCACTAGTATCAGTCGTCTCCTTCAAATAAAAAAGTTTTAAAAAAACAGTTGGATGTAATCATGTATTTACTGAGATACTACATTTAAACAGAAGTGAGTGATTACTTTTGTGTCACTTAGTGTTGTCAAAGTAAGTGTTTCAAAGCACAACATTCTTCTGCTCTCTTACGTGAGTCCATGTATGACTTCTAGAAATTTTGTCACTATCCTTGGTCTATTGGGTGTATGTTAGGGACCGAGATCCTCCTCTCTTCTCGTTCTGAACTGTGAGTTTGTGTAAAAAGCAGAATCTATGCTTTCTACTCACACTTCATTTTCATAGAATTGTATTTATAATACATGTTTTGGGGGGGGGGGGAAATGGCCAAATCCCAAACCTTCTCTTTAACTCTGTTTTTATAGTGCCCTATTGAGTGGTTCCACTATGGATGCGTTGGACTGACAGAAGCACCAAAAGGGAAATGGTACTGTCCTCAGTGTACGGCTGCAATGAAGAGAAGAGGCAGTAGACATAAATAAATTTGTTCATCTGGAAAACAAATTACATACTAAAGGTTTTATAGAGGACTTGGGAGGGGGAGGAACCCCCACCACACTTCCTTGCGACCACTTAAGGGTTAACATAGCAGTCGTAAGATCCTGAACTATTGATTTTGCTAGTTGTGTTTTAATATTGTAAGTAAATTATTTATGCACATTGATGTGCTACAGATACTATTCCAGTGAGCCTTGGATTGTTCCAGCGGCCAACATATGCAGACATTTGTACTATCAAACCATTTTCTCTGAGCAGTGGGCATTCTACAAGTATTCAATCTTCCAAAAATTCCAGTAAGTCAAGATTTTAAATGTATGTTTTATATACAACAGATATATTCTGCTGCATGTACTGTACTCAAGAGCTGTTATGTTACACTATGTATATAAATGGTGCAAAAAGTCAGTGCTTCTGGAAAAAAAGAGACAATGGTTTTTAAAATGCCTTTATAGGGTTTGGTTCTTTATGAAACATAATTCAGCAGGCTGAAGAAAATGGTTCTTGTATACAGCGGGCTGTTGTCCTCTAGGGTACTTGAGTATGTAAAAACAAAAAAATGCTGTAGAATAAAACAAACTTGTGCCATTAGTCTTTATATGTTTCTGCTCCAGAGAAGGAGCAGGCCATAAGAGGAAAAAAAGGTGTTAAAGTGATGATAAATTTTTATACCAAATGTGTTTATTTTTTTGTGCAAGTAATCCTTTAAATTTGAATTGTATTAGGTGTTAAAATAAAACGACCTCAACTCCTCAAATTAATGTTTCCTGTACATTTGTCAAAAATATAGTATTATCCCTGGAATGGTTTCAGAAGACTATAGCTATGTTTGCATCAGAAATTCCTATGCAGGACCCATGTGAAGGATCATTGTACGGGAGGACAGTTCTCAGGTGGCTGGATAATTAATAAATGTATAGGCAAATGCTGAAATATCATTTGCCTTGATGTCGATCAGTGGTACCTGCTTAAATGGGCACAAAAGTTCTGTTTTCTATGTGGTTAATAAAATCTTCCAAAACCTACTGTGTCAGGAGATGTCCGCAGGCAGGATTGCCTTTGTATTTCCATGGCAGAGGTGGAAATAAGGGGAGAAGATAAACTGTGGTAACTGTGTTTTGCAGCTGCTGTATTTCTTCTTGGACCGTGGTGTTCATGTAGAAACCAGCACACAGTTCTGGAAAGAAGAAAGAGACTTCATCCTGCTTGTAGGCTCCCTACCTAGGGTAACAGGGGAGGATCATGTTAGGAAGCCTCAGTGCAGGCCCATAAATGGTTGGATCTGTGAGTTGTACACATTGTAGTACAGGACCAGAAAACTGATTTTTAAATTAGACCCTTGACTATGAATCTAATGGAAAGATTTTCTATGTTTTTTCACCACTTGGTTATTTTGGACATAGTTTGTAGATCTCCTTTCACTGACAGTTTCCTTTTGTTATTTTTGTATGGCTCTTTCATGCATCAGCACTGAACAGAAACAAGATTATTGCTCCATTTTTCTCCTTTCTCCTTCCTTCCATTACTAAAAAAAAACCACTTTCCATTGGAACAAAGATTTTACTTTAGCACTGGGTTGCTCTTTGGGCCAACAGGCTTGAAGGACCATGGCCTTCATGTAGTAGCTTTCTAAACTAATGCGGAGAAGAGAGGGGAGAGAATCAGTGTTCTGGTGTATGACTGTGCAAACTGTCCAGGAAATAAAAAGAGTTAGGCTTAGTAGTAGTAGGAATATGTGCAGAAAATGTAGGTTTTGCCCAAACCAAAATGAAACCAGGCTTATGTTGCAGCATTTATTTAAAAATGGAAAAAAAAAAAGTAGGCATTTTAAATCCATAAACTGGGAGAAAGCAGATGTGTAAGAAGGGAAATGTGATTATGGATGATACATAGACTTTGGTAAAAGAATCGGATAAAAGTTGATGAAAATAAACAGCAAAGAGCAGTGTAATTGAGGTTCCATTAAAACCGGGAAGGGAGCCCGATGTGTGTGTATTTCTGCACAAAACTCAGTCAAAAAAAACACTTGAGGACCAGAATATCTGGTTTTAAGTGAGCCTGTTGAGACAATAGAGATAACAAACTACTTGTTCTGGTGGAAACTGGTGCCATGCTATGAACTGAAGTTAAATAAGCAGCAGCTAATCTAGACTCCCCTTGGATTGAATGTCTAAGTCTCTAGGGCTAAAAAGTAAGTCTCTTAAGAATATATATCAAAATCCCTCACTCCAGTGGTAACCTTGCCTAAAATGGTGCAGAGATTGCAAATCTAAAATATTTCAATTTTTAGTGTGATCATTGGTGCGCTGTTTCATTGGACAATATATTTTTCATGGAGGAGCTAGTTAGAGAACTCGCAGAAAGACTGAAAAATACCATTATGTGCTTACGTTGGATTCTCAAAAATAACAAAAATGGAAAGTGTTAAAAGTAGCAGAACAATCTTGTGATTGAGTGTTCGATCAAGTAGAAGATGAAATTGAACATTTGCTAACATAATTAAGCATAAAATAATATTCAAAATAGTAATTGTCAGTTTACCTGCAGCAAGGCCTCTGAAGTAGCTATTGTTACTTTCAGAGGAAAGTGATTTTGGAGTTAATCTAGGTAATTCCATAGTGACGTCAGCTCGTTGCTCAGCAGCAGGTCAGACAAGTGCTGAGAATGACGCGGTAGGAGGTAAAGAATAAAACAGAAAACCATTTTACACCATGGTGCATCAATTTACATAGAATTCTGGTCCGCTCAGCTGCAAAAAGGTAGCAAAGCCAGGAAGGGCTCCAATAGGAGGCTTAAAGTTATCCAAGCTGTGTAGTGATAACACATCTGAGAAGCAGCTGAATTGTCTGGGTCTCTTCTGGATGGGAAACAGGTGGCTCAGTGAGGGTGTAACAGGGGTCTGCGAATTCAGGACTGCTGTGGAAAAGCTGTGTCTTTTGATAGAAGAAGTAGTCAGAAGGTAGCCAGTCCAAAATGAAACAAAGAAAGAGCAGCGTTTCTTCACACGTGGCATGCTCAAATTGTAAAACTGGCCATATAGCTTACATAGGTATCGAAAGTGACTGAGAAATTAATGGAAGCAGAGCCCATGGAGGCACAAAATGCAGAACTAACACACCTGAATCAAAACCTCACTGAAGACTGATCACTAAAAGTGAGAGTTTGTAACCAGGGAGGTGTTCCTGGGTTCCTGTGACAGTCCTAAAATCCTCCGGCATACTCCACTGAGCACTCTTTGATTCAAGACACTTCAGCATTTATGCAGTGCAGCTGCTTTCAGTCTCACCTCAGTGCTCCAGCATTTGGGTGAACTTTTAGGATGAGGAGGTATTTGCAGCACTACAAACTGAGAACCAATGTGCCAAGCACTAAAAAAGAACAAAAAGTGGTCTATGCCTTAAACTGTATTGGCTGTTTGCATTGTGAAGGCATAACAGTTTTCCCTCAGCTGTAGGTTTTATTTATCTTAGGTCTGAAATGAAAAAGAAAGAATCAGTAACATTTGTGCATCCTGATCTGAAAATCCCACCAGGTTGTCTCTCTGAATAGCACAGAATAATGTGCATTGCTGTCTTCTTTACTGATTTTTGCAAAACATTGTTCAACCGTGCAAATAGAGATGAGAAATTCTGAGGTGTGTTTCCATTTTCTGTTCCCCCTCACCAGGGAGGCAATGCCCACTGCAAGCTGGCTTTTCTTGGCAAGTTTTTAATCTCCCACCTCATCCTGATGGAATGTTTGGACCATGCACTTCTCTTGTTCCATAGATGTGACAGGTGACTGAAGGACAAGCCAGGGGGGCTTCACCTTGACAGCATGGGGTTCAGTTTTGCACTTACACTAAAAATCTCTGAGAAGCAGAATTGCAAGAGGGATAAAGGTCTGGCTGTTCACACTTGCTTAATGCTACACCTGAATAACTAATGTTAGGCACGCTGCAGGAACACAGTCTCTGCAGTTCTGTTACTCCTCCCAGGAGTGCCCAAAATGCTATCAGAATAACATAACTAAAGATGAAAAATGCCACACTTCAGTGTATCTATGCCCGTTTACAATGATATTCCTCTAGCATTTTAAAATCCGTATCTTGCTTTTACACTCTTACAATATTCTGTAATGACACACAGCAGCTTTTTTCCTCTAGATATATCTTGTACTTAGGAGTGATTTGCACACACAAAAGTTGTTCACAAGTTGCATGGTTACTTACAGACTTATGCTTGCGTACATCACGTTTTACATTTTACAAAAAACAAGTTTCCTACATTAGTTCATAATAGATCTAAAGTCTTGATTCTAAACTTAACTGTGTTTGCCAACTGAATTCCCTTTGTCTACTAAAAATAATAGATCCTGAATGTATTGAACAAAAAACCTCCTAGCATATTACAACTAGAGTAGAGGAATACTTGCCTCATGACTTTAGAAGGAATCTACCTAATGCAGCAAAAAAATAGGAGCAGTGTTATGATCTGCAGCTGATTTAATATTTTTAAAGCCCTAATACTTATGGTTACCTTGTACCTTACATTATAAAAACTTCTGAGTGTTGTGACTGCTTCATTTCTTTCTAATATTTATTCAGCAATGCCATATACATTGACTCAGATGGGTATGCATACAGCATATGTGAAGATAATTCTATGTTGCTTCCACCTGCAAAACTGTGGCCTTCTGACTTCAAAACAAGTTTTACTATTTCTTTTCAGAAAAAGACATGCGGGATAGATGTTTGGATAAACTTTGCAAGCGTGAGTGTAGTTAAGTGCCAGAAGGGGTCAGTCAGAAAAGTGCTATGGAATTAGGGAATCCTTTCTTGTCAGAAACAAAGTGCAGGAATATTTTTCCCTGTGCCGATAAGGGAAATGTGTTTTACAGCTCTGTTTTATGTTGGTGAGACTAAAATTACATTGTTATGGGGGAGGAAGGGGGAGTAAAAATAAACGGTCATCATATTTTAGAATTGTTTCAATACATTATGTAGCTTGCTTGAAAATGTGACAAGTTGGAGTGTTTCTGCTGGGATGAATTCATCTGGATATGGTATTCTTGGCTTAAATCATTTTAAAATGTGTTTAATTTCTCTGTTGTGTTATTTAGGGCTAAATTAATCTCAAGCTTTTAAAGAAAGCACATTCTAAGATGGATGGATTAGTCAATAGTTGAGTGAACTGACAATAAAAACATGTGTTCCTTAATCAGGACTGGAAAATGGAATGGCTTTGCACTCAGTAGTATTGACCAACCAACCCTTATTTTAATTTAGGGAGGTTTACCATACATTTCCCAGGGATCTTCCCAATAGCCTAATACACTTGGAATGGCTAAGGAACTGAGGAATAAACAGAAGTTAAAATAGGAGTTATTTTAAAATTGCAATTTAATTAAAAACTAAAATTATGTGTTAATCATTTTAATCAGAGCAGAAATTTTCTTAGACACTGACTTGAAGCATGCTTTTGCACACAGAAGTGCTTATTTCAGGAGTAAAGATTACCTTTGGGAGAGTTACATCAGAACAGTCCTGCCTGCCTCTGCTATAATATTGTTTGTTGGTCTTGTAAGGCATAAATACAAATCTAAAACATACACTGAGAAAACATGCCGGTGAAATTTTAGCCCAGGACAGGAAAACTAAAGATGAGTCTCAAAAACAAAAAAGATAAAAATTTCCAACTTTAAGTCGTTTTTATTAGTATCTCCATTAATGTTTAAGATTTACCAACTCTAAAGTACTTTCCATTTTGCAAGT